AGATCATATATGTAAGTCATTAGCACACACCACAAAGCAATTAACACTTGTGTCATCTTCCTCTTTCTGCCTTTCTCTTTTAACTTGCCTCCCCTCCACCTCAAAACAGGCCTCACCCTTTCTCTCCTTAATTCATCTTGCACCAAAGACAAAGAGAAACCTACACCTCCCCAAGGCAGACTGCTTCATTTCCCCCTCTATCCTGTGCCTTTTCCTGTCTTCCAACTCTTCCTTGACACTAGCTTCTGACCCTGAGACTTCAAATACCCTCAAGGGTTTTTTGTTTGTTTTTGTCTTAAAGAGAAAAACTTTCCTTCCATCTGCTCCTTAAAAAATATATATATTTTATTGATTTTTTACAGAGAGGAAGGGAGAGGGATAGAGAGTTAGAAACATTGATCAGCTGCTTCCTGCACACACCCTACTGGGGATGTGACCACAATCAAGGTACATGCTCTTGACCAGAATCAAACCTGGGACCCTTCAGTCCACAGGCTGACGCTCTACCCACTGAGCCAAACCAATCAGGGCCCATCTGCTTCTTTATAGTCTAAAGCACATATAAATAACTGCCTGACATAGCCTGGAACTCTCCCAAGAGGTGACTGGAATTACATCTGTAATCTTGGGGGTGGGGCAGAACCCCAAACCTTGCCAGATATTTGAGACTAATATTTGTAAAACCTTCAGTAATGGTACATCATTTCATCCTTTGTCAAATGTTTAAATATTCCCAACATTCTAACTTAGATCCCAAGGGCCTGCTGTTTCATCCACCATTTAAAAAAGTATTTGCACACACCATTGAATTTGTCCTCGTGTTTCACACTTTGATTGGCATAATCCTAATCTTTGCGATTATCGCAGGACTTCTCTCCCACTAGGAGAGTTGGGAACTGGAAACTGTACTGTAAAACATCTGAGTAAAGGGCAGTAGTCCTCCACACTTGCTACCCCCCTTACTAAAAAACATTGCTTTATTCCTAAATAAGACTTCAGTCTTTGGATCTTTTTGGTATTCATTTGTGTCCTATCTTCTGTTCTTTCTCCTTTGTTTGCCATTACTCTCCCACATGAACTCTTAACCAGAGATAAACTGGTTGACTCATTGTTTGGCAAACATGCCCTGTGGCTTCCCACTCACATGCATCTGTATACCAAACCTCACGTTCCCTTCTCTCTACCTGTCAATACGTTCCCCATCATTTAGGACCAGGTCCAGTCCCATAATCCTCATGAAGCCTATGCTGACTGCTCACAAAGGAAAATATGTCCTCTCTCCTCTGAACTCTTTCCATGTTTCTAGCTAAGCCATAAGGCTATACTGCCTGGGACAGTTCCATCTCATCTTGTTAACCTGTTTTATTATTTGACAAAGTGTGTCCATACTGTGTCTCCCGAGTAGTTTGCAAGGTTCTCTGGTCGGCAGAGACTGTTCCCCCCTCCCATCCCTAACACAGCAGGCGCTTCATATGTCCCTGTTTCTCTTCCCTCCCCAAGTGTCATTCCACTGCTGCCCTAACTGACTTTCATTTCATTTCTATTTCTTTCCACAATACAGACTTCTAAAATTTTTTTGAATTCACTCTGCATCATTGAAAAACCTACTTCCTCTAGATTTGGTTTCAGATGTGAGTCAATAAGCATAATAATTGTTTCTTCTTCTAGGCATTAATAAACCAATGCAAGAATATCATAAATTGAGAATCCACTGTGTGTAGAGCACTGAGCCAAGAGCCTCTGTTAAAGATTACAGAAAATGTGGAAGG